ATTACTAAGACTTGACAGGCACGTAATGCCATTTAAATATTTGTAATTTAAGTATTTCAAGCCATCACGTTCCTGTTTAAAAAAAACACAATTGACAATAGAGGCAAAAACCAACAGCACTGACTACGTACGGGATTCTCGGCTGGGTAGGCCGCACCTCCTCAGATCAGCCTACATCTGAGGGGCAGGGGTGCACGTGGCTACTGTCACTTCTAGAACCGTCGGCTGGCGGTCTCCGGTCCAAAAAGACCAGCACGCCCGGGGAGTGTGGGCTGGGGCACACCGCGTCCCTGCAGGGGCCGCGCATGGGCACTTGCTCCAGACCAGGCGCTCCCCCACGCTCGAGGTCCGAGAGGGCAGTTGTCACTGTCTCTGCCGAAGAGGAAACGCACGCAGAGAGCTGATGTGACTGGGCGAGGGTGGCAACGCGAGTGGGGCGGAGGGAAACTGCACCCGCCTGGTTGGCTGCAGGCCAGCATCTGGCTCCCGCACTGCCCCATCCGGGACCCAGGAGGCTTTGGGGGCCCCAAATGCTCTGTGGCCTGAGACCCGCCAGGCTGGTCTCAGATGAGCGCGCACGGTGCATTGCTCCAAATCTCAATGCAAGTTGAAGTGAAGACTAGACCCCAAAGTCTGCGGCAATTAGCTGAAAAGCACAACCTAGGTTGTGCCTACATCTGAGGGGCAGGGGTGCACGTGGGTTGTGTAAAAGCACAACCTAGTGAGACAAGCTAGGGACGCTGGAGGGTAATACTGACAGCAGCGCGCGCGCTCACAAAGCTGCTCGCTTTCATGTTCTGGGGCTAAGGGCACGTGCCGAGGGCCACTGGGATCAACTAAAGCCAAAGGCAAAAGATGAGCAAATGAGCAGTCACTTCATTAACTGTTTTTTCCAGTTTACCTGATTTGAAGTGAAGAAGGATGTAAAAGGGTCTGGGAGCGGGGAGCTCCCAGACTGCCTGGCTGGCCTTGCACTCACTGGACCCTGGGGCTCAGCACCCTGCTCCCACTTCAACTTCAGGGTCAGCGGCCAGAGCAGCGCGCAGTAGGTGCCCAGGAAACTTGGGCTGCTGCTCTTCTACTGCCCTTCTCCAGAGACACCCAGCCTGGGGCAGCCACAGCAGTCGGTCCCACCCAACGCCAGGGTCCCACGCTGCGATAAGAGGGCCAGGTCCCGGCTGCCGGTGTTGCTAACGGCAGTCGCGCTAGCCTGACTGGCACGCGGCCGTGCCCGTGGGTCCAGAGTCTAGGCTGCTTTCACACTAAGACGGCACCGAGCAACTGCGACGGAGCCCATATGGTCCACGAAGGGCAAAACGTGTATGCCGGCCCCTCAAAGAAAAAGTTCTGCCAACCCTCGTGTGACAGAAAGGCTGGGGAGGGTGCGAGTGCCGCCCTTTCACGAGGCGCCCGGCCCCAGCGCGCAGGCCCAGGCGGCCCAGTCCCGGCCCACCACGGGCCAGCCTGCTGGAGCACAGGGCCTGTTTCAAGAAATGCTTCTCCACGTGCACCCTAGTTCTTGGACTACACTAGAAATGCTGTTTGCATGAAGTGAAGAGATGGGGTCCTGCCTGACGCCTCTCCAGGCACTCAGCTGGTGGAAGCAGCCTTCCCGCCTGGGGCACCTCATAGAAGGTGCGTCTCACCCTGACAGGCCAGGCAGACTTTGGCGAAGTCACTCACAACGATTCTTCTGTAAACATGTTAAGAAAAATCATCAAGCTGGCACCCTGCACAGCACCAAGTCACCACCCACTTCGTGCCACGACTACAACGGCGCAAGGGGCACCACCACGGGCCAATGGCCTCGGCATCCACTCCAGACGGGGATGCGGCCTCAGTCCCCGTCTAAGTCATTTTCAATCATGTGTGAGAATTACAGAATCACATCTGAACCTTCAACAAGTCTCCCCATCTGCCGCCCCTCTGGCAGGACCCGCACTGCCCCCCATCACCACCAGGAACTTAAGCAGCGCCACTGTTCTCGGTCCCTGCAGTTACTCAAAAGGTCCTGCCCTAGAAGTCTCCACGCAAATCCCTTTTCCTATTTAGCTTATTTAACTTAGAGATGAGCCAAACACCCTGACTGGTCCTCAGGTACCACCGCAATGAACAGGGTCGGTTGAGGCCACTGTGTAGACCTGGGTCATACCCTGCTGGGCCAGGAACAAGGGGGCGTGGGGCAGCCTGCCCTGTGCCCCTGAAGGAAGAACACATCTCTGTCTGCGCCCCCCCCCCCAACCAAGGAATTCAAATCACTTACTGCAGTTCCGCTATTAAGACCTGCCAAGTTCAGCAGTCTCTGGGGTCTGTGGTCTGAGCACACACCACTTTTCTGGACAGATCTACAGAGCGAATATGCGTTGCTTGAATGGTCCAGGTTCGGTGCTGGTTCCAAGTCTTTTATGCTGGGGAGGGTGTCCTCACTCGCGTCCAGCTCCTAACCTAGAAAACCTTCCAACCTCGCAGGAAGCTGTGCGGGTCAAACTCAGAAAAGCTGCTCCGTAAGGCCGCCGCGCTGTCGCAGGAGGTGCCCCGGCTGGCGACCGAGCTTTACTTACACCCGCTTTTCCACCGTTTAAAGGGACCTGCATGATCACCGCAATCACGACTGCCGAGGGACACTACACAGCCCAGGATGAAACAGACCTCTGCTTAGTCTCCAGAATGCAATCTCAAAAGCCTTTCTATTACATTTGTCGTGTATAAACTGTCTCCATAAAGCACGCGCGTGCACACACAGCCTTCCGCTTGCCTGGACATTAGTTCTCCTACACTATTAAATCCCTGAAGGACATTAACATGCTGTTTTAATCTGGACACATTAAATTAAAAAGTTTCTAAAAACACACACACAGCTAACTATACACTGGCAGCACAAACCCCTCCTTCTTCCCGAGTGCCAAGTGTGTTAGTGAAAAAGTGGTTAAGTGATTTCAACAACTTCTGAGAGCATCACATTCTGCGCCCCAACAGAACTCTGGGGCAGGGGGACAGCGCTGTTTTTTTCCCTTCTGGCCGCTCTCCTTCAGGGCACACTCCCTGTTTCTGCATCACTGCTGCCCACCCCCCCAAGACGCCATCCCGGACCTCCCGGCCCCTCACTGGCGGCCACAACATTCACCACTCAAGCTGCCACCTCACCCCACCGGATTATGCACACCCACGCTAGACTGCAAGTGCCCTGTGGGCAGTAGCTTGGCTAGTGAGCCCCCCAATAGCAGCAGTACTGTTTCTGGGTCCACAGGCCCGTCCCCAGACACACACTGCGTGCTGGCATCTGAGTCACTCTTATTTCTCAGGCCACCGAGGCAGCTGCCACTGCCACCACCTCCTCCTGGCCCCTGGCACAGAAGTCCTCTCCCACAAACTTCATCACACCAGCGGGGCACTTGCCGAGTGCACCGTGGCCCACTTTTCTCCTCAGAGTCTCAAACACACATCCCCTCACTAAAATAAGGCTGAGCCGCTCAAGAATGTTTTCCCCGAGCTCACCCCACTTTCCCTTCGGCCCATGCACCTTCACTCCGCCGTGGGGATTACGTAAATCCTTCAGCCCTGAACTTACTCAACATACAGCCTCAAGACCTCTGTCCGAAACGAGCAGCTACAAGAGACAAGGTTGTAGCGTGTTTAACGGGCTGATAACGACCCCCCCCCGCCCCCGCAGACCCTCTCCCCGAGGTTGTTACCGGAGCGAGCAGCCGGATCGCCGACCTGTAGCCAAGGACCCAACACCCAGGTGCCGCCGTGGATTTTATCCTTGGCTTATCTAAATCAGATCTACGGAAAACTACTTTTCGTTTCACAGCCGGCAGGGTGGCCCCGCGCGGTCCCGGCAGCGGAGCTCGTCGGAAGGGCCGGCCGGGGCCTCCATCTTGGAAACAGCTGGACGCGGACGGCAGGACCGGCCTTTTGTTCGGCCGAGTGACTCTCGTCCCCCCACGAACAGCAAAACAGCCCGTGACAATAGCGCGCCCCGAACAATAGCGCGGCCGCAGCCCCTCGCGGGGTCCGGGACGCGCCTCCGAGTTGAACTTGCCCGGCCGCCCGCGTCCAGGCCGGGCCTCGCCGCGCCCGCAGCGCCCGGCCGCGGCGGCCTCTGTCCCGGGCCCCGGGCCCCGCCAGCCCCGCCAGCCCCGCCCGGCGCCCGGGGGTCCCCGCCCCGCCCCGCCCCGCCGCGCGCCCCGCTCCCGGCCCCGGCGGCCGCCGGGCTGACCCGGAGCCGCCGCCTCCTCGCGCCGGCCCCGGCCCCGCCGCGGTGAAACGAAAGTCAGAAAGTTCGGGGCTCGCCGGCGGGGGGCGGCGGCGGCGGCCGCACGGCGACGGGGAGCGGCGGGTCGGGCCCGCCGGGACCGGGTCCCCGCGAGCTGCTCCCGGGCGCGGCGGACGGGGCCGCGGGCGCTCGCGCAGGGAGGCCCGGACGGGGCGGCCCGGACGGGGCGGCCCGTGAATCAGACAGCGGGAGGCTCCTCCCGGCGGCGGCCCGGGGGCCGCGAAAGTTCCGAGGGGCCGCTCCGGGGGGCGCAGGCACGAGCCCGGGGCCCCCCAGAAACTCGCGCCCCGGCCCGCACCCCGGCCCGGCCCGGCCCCCTGCCCGCACCCCCAGCCCTGCCCGCACCCCGGCCCTGCCCGCACCCCGGCCCTGCCCGCACCCCCAGCCCTGCCCGCACCCCGGCCGGCCCTGCCCGCACCCCCAGCCCTGCCCGCACCCCGGCCCTGCCCGCACCCCGGCCGGCCCTGCCCGCACCCCGGCCCTGCCCGCACCCCGGCCGGCCCTGCCCGCACCCCGGCCCTGCCCGCACCCCGGCCCTGCCGGCACCCCGGCCGGCCCTGCCCGCACCCCGGCCCTGCCCGCACCTGCCCCGGGCCGAGCCGCGGCCGCGCCACCCGCCGGCGGAGCCCCGGGGCGGACCCCGGCGCGGCGCGTCCCGGCAACTTTCGGGGAGTTCGCGGGGCCGGGGCGCCCCGCCCGCCCCCGCCCCCCGCTGTCAGCTCACCTGCGCTGTCAGCCGCCGCGAAGCCGGGCGAGCCGAGCTTGGCCCGCTTGGGGTTGGGCGGCCCGTCCAGCAAGTTCTCGGCCATCTTCCCGGCGCGCGGCGGCGGCGAGGGGGCGCCCGGGCGGGCCGGGCGCGGAGCCGCGGGCGGGCGCCGCGGAGGAGGCCGCCGGGTGGGGGAGGCGGCGGCCCAATCTCAGCCGCGGCAACAGCGCCCCGCCGCGCTCAGCGCCCGCCCCCGGCCGCCGCCGGCCGCGGCCCCCGCATCCCCCGCGCGCCCCCGAGCCGAGCGGCGGCGCCCCGGCCGGGCCTGCCGCGACGGCCGCGCCTCAGGCCGGGCCCGGGGCCATGGAGCGCCGCCGCGCCGCCCGCCCCCCCGCGCCCGCCGCGGGCCCGCGCGGCCCGGCGACCGGGGGGCCCGGCTCCGCGCCGCGCCCGGCCCGCGCCGCCGCCGCCGTGGGGGGAGCGGCGCCCGGTCGCCGCCGCCGCCGCCGCCGCGGCCCCCACCCCGCGCCGCCGCCGCCGCCGCCGCCGCCGCCGCCGCCGCCGCGGCTCCGGGAGGCCGAGCCGAGAGGCGAGCGGGGCCGCCGGGGCGGGCGCCGAGGGCCGGGCGGAGCGGGCCGGCCGGGCGGAGCGGGCAGCGCGGGCGGTTGCGGGGCCCGGGGCCGGCGGGGCCGCGTAGATCGCGCTCGAAGCCCCGGTCGGGTCCGCGACAAGATGGCGGCTGTTGATTCCTCAATTAAAAAAAAAAGAAAGTTTTTTTTCTTCTCTTTCCAGAGCCTGAACGGGGAGGGGGAGGGGGCGGGGCACGCCGGTGCGTCACCCCCCCGCGGCGTCACCACGCACGGCCCCCGCCCCGCCCCCTCCACCTGCGCCGGCCGCGCCGGAAACAGCCGAGCGCGCTCGGGCCGAGGGGCCGAAGGCGCGGCCGCCGGGCGTGGGGCGTGGGGCGGCGGCGACTGGGGCCGGCCGGCGCGGCTCCGGGCGCCCGGCCCGGGCGCCCCCTTTGTCCTGACGGCGACGGGGCGGCGCGGGCGGGGCCCCGCCAGGGCCGCGGGCCGGGCTCCGGGGCGCGGCGTCGCCGCCGGTCGGGCTCCCCCCCACCCCCGCCCAGCCCGGCCCCCCGGAGCGACGCCGACGGCTCCGGCTCCTCGCGCCCCCGGCGGCCCGGCCGGGCCCTCCGCCCCCCGAGCCCGGCGACGGGCGGCGGCCGCTGCGGCTGCGGAGCCCTCGGGGCGGGCAGCGGCGGGGCCGGCGGGAACCCGGACACCAGCCTCGCGGCCCCGCGCCCCGCACGACGTTTCGGGGCCCCGGGCCGGACACCCCCCCGCGGGAGGCGCTGAGTGCCCGGCCTGGGCAGACGGAGCGGGGCCCTCAGCCCGGGGCGCCCCCAGCCCGGGCGCGGGGCCTCGACAGCCCCCATCGCTCCAGTCCATGTGGGGCCCCGGGAGCCCGACTCGCGCGGCCACTCCCCGCGGACAGTTCCAGCAAAACCCGAGGGGTCCGCCTCTCAGTTCGTGTCTGCCCCCCAAAACTAGCTGCGCTGTCATGAGGAGGCCCCTCTCCGGAAGGTCTCACCAGCACCCTGTTTCCTGAGCCAGAACCTGAGAGTCAGCGCGACGCCTCCCTCCTCCCTCGCCTGGGCTCCCGGCTGCCCGCGGCCTCCTCCCGGGCCTCCTCCCGCAGCGCCGCCGGCCTCGCCGCAGCTTCGCCCCGAGGTGCCCCTTGGGCTCCGCGTTCTCCCCACGCAGCACCGGGTTAACTCGGGGAGAGGCAGGGAGAGCTCTGTCTAAACACGTCGCTCCCGCAGCAGGAAAAGAAAAATCACACCCACACATTTATGTAGCTTCAAGAGAAGCCCATGTGTGGGGCCTGTTCAACGCGTGCGTCCAAGAGGGTGATGGCCTCGGGGTGTCGCTCCCTGTCTCTCCTCTTTCTCCTGTTCATGCTGTCAGTCTCTCGAGCGGGGCCCCCGTCTGTCCCTTCCGCTTTCCACTGCTCCCCCCAGTCGCTTGGAAGGGCTCCTCATTCCGGCCTTTTTATCCCACTGTCCTGCAAGACCCAGCGTCAACGCCACCCACTCCAGGAAGCCCTCCGGCCTCTGCAGGGCTCCAGGCACTCGTGGGCACGGCTCTGTGAGGGCACACTGCCCTCCGTGTCACCCTCTTCTCATCCATCAAGTAACACTTGAGGTTCTCCTGGGCGGGGGGTGGCCTGACCACTGTGCTGCTCTCTTGGGCAAAGAAGAAAGAGACGTCCCTGTGTATTGGAGGAAGCCAAGCAGCAGGCCCTGGAAGTCACACACAGGCATCTGAGAGTCACAGGAGGGCGGGAGTGTGGAGCCAGAGGACGACGGGCCACAGCTTCTGTACCCGTGTGCTCCGGGTCCCTCTCACCCTGAATCTGTGTCCCTCAAGAAGCAGGTTTATAAAATTTAAGGAATGAATGACGTTGTCAAACTCCCCTGAGTCAGAGGCCTCCGGGCTACTGAGACAGGTGGGCTCTGGCCTGAGCTCCGGGTCACCACCCCACAGAGGACAACACTCAGGTCACCCCGGGGCCTCCATCAGGGCCCCTTAGATCAGGCCAGCAGACGCGCCCACACGTCCCACTGCCATGTCTGCTAAGATGGGCAATGTTCACATTTCGTCACTTCAGCTTCAGATCTTGGCTCTGAAATAACGTATCAGAGAGAACAGAAGCTGCACCCCACTTCCCTCCCCCAAAGTCCCCACTTTCCCAAAGTTGGTGCCCAGCATCCCCTGACAAGATGTGTATTTTTATGACGTCAACTCAAACAAAACTACCGACACCTGCGGACATTTGACCCCCTCCAAAGTGACACATTGGTGTGGTTCATATAATGTGCATAGCCCATCGCCACTGGCCACTGTCTGCGTGTGGAGACACCTCACATGAGTGGCACATGGCACAATTCCTTTGGAAATCTCTTCTTGGCGTTCAAGGTTTTTTTTTTTTTTTTTTTTTTTTGTAAAACATACATAAGAGAAAAGTGGCCATTTCAGGCATTTGTCGGTGTGTGGCTCTATAATCCTAAGCACAGTCTCGGTGTTGAGTAGCCACAACCATCATCTCCAGAAGTTTTCATCTTCCCAAACAGAAGCTGTCCCTACTAAGCACGGGCTCCCATTCCCCACCCCTCAGCCCTTGGCCCCGACCTTCTACTTCAAGGCTCATCCATGTGCAGCAGGTGTCAGAATCTCCTTCCTTTTTAAGGCCGCGTAACATTGCATGGTGTTGCTCTACCACATCTGTGTGTCCACTCACCCACTTCCACCTTCTGGCTACTGTGAATAACGCTGCTGTGCACTTGAATGTGCAAGTGTATCTCTTCCCACCTTGCTTTGTCTTAGTCTGTTGGAGCTGCGGTACTGCCCGCCTGGCGACCAACAGGGACGTGTCCCTCACCAGGCTCTGGAGGCTGGGAAGGTGCAGGCAGATTCAGTGTCCGGAGGGCCTGCTTCCCCCTCTCGCTACAGTCTCTCATCGTGGAAGGAGTAAAGGGCCTCATCCTATTCACGAAGACCTCACTGTCATGACCCATCACCCCATGGCGCCAACCCTTAACCCCATCACAGTGGGTGTTAGGGTTCAACATACCAGTTTTAGGGGGACACGAACAGTCAGTTCATAGTAATGGGCGTACAAGTATCTCTTTAATAGCCCGTTCTCAATTATTTTGGGTATTTATTTTGGGGTGAACAGCAGCTGAGCCAGTGCCCCCACAAGGCCCAAAGGGCAGGTGAAAGGGCATGCTTGCTGGAACCGGGGAAGAAAGTCTGCAGAGGGGCCCTGGCTGGAGGAGCAATCTTTAGCCAAGGGGTTCAAGGCAGAAGTGTCCCAATCTGTCCTTTTTGATCTCCAGCCAGGCTGCCCCCTGGTGCATCCCAGCCCAAGGTCCTGGCAGCCTGGGCACCCACTAGGTGGAGTGTGTCAGCTGGAGGGCATCCGGAAGGTGTCTGGCACATAGGTACAGCTGTCCACTTGCTTTCCGAAATGGTGTTCCCGACGTGCGTGCCTCTGGCAGAGGATTTTCGTCCATAGCCCACATCTTGGCTAATGTCAGCTATTGACCAGACTTAATCATTTCCCCCAGCCTTTGGGGGATGAAATGGTGTCTCCCTATGATTTTATTTTTAATTTTTTAAGATTTATTTATTTATGCATACAAGAACAGGGGTGCAGGCCAGAGGCATGGGGGGTGAGAGAATTCACCAGAGACAGAGCGGGGAAAAGAACAGGCAGATGGACTGAAACACACTGCTGAGGGGAGCAGCGGGGTGCGGCAGGAGAGGTCTGTCGCGCCATGTGGGACCCTCGCCGGCGGCCGGGGATCGAACTGGCGCTGCAGAGGCTGCGGGCAGCTTCGCAGCCCAGAGCTCAACCGCTGCGCCACCAGGAGAGTCCCTCCCTATCATTTTAAAGTGCGCCTCCTTGAGCGCCAGCGAGGCTGAAGACCTTCACATCCTTACTAGCATTTGGAGTTGTGCGTGCTGCAAACACCTTGCCAGTCTTAGCAGACCGGTCATTAAACCGTTCTTCTTACTGTATATTCATCAGTCGGGGTTTCTGTTTAACTTTCGGATGCTGACTCTCCCAAAATGAAATAAATTCTCCCTTCCTTGGCTTATGTATGTATTTTTAGTGACTTGTCACTAAAGAAGTTTTAAAATTTAATGTCTTCAAATGTAGTGTTCTCGACCTTCCTCCTATGAACTAAGAGATCTTTCACTACATGGAAACCTTTCTTCTAAAAATGTTACAATTTTACTTTTTCCCACTTAAGCTTGTGCAGGGTTGAGGCAGGGTCTACTTCTACCTTTTTCCTTACAACAGTTTTATTAACTGAACACCCCCTCATCTTCTCTTTGATTTACTGTGTCTTCTTCCAAGTTCCTCTTTACTCCGCTCAGCTGGTCTGCCTCTCGTCCCCACAGCAAGGCCCCGTGTTTCAGCAGCTGGGAACGGAGAGGACCCCGACTCGGAGAAGGGACAGTGCCCGCACGCCCTCTTCTTTCCAGCGTTATCCAGACTGCTCTTGGCCTCCAGGCTTCCAAATGAATTTTAGAGTCCGTTCGTCCAGAAC